GGCTCTACTCACCATTATCTCACAGTTTGAAATTGATCCATCATTTCTCTGTAGAACAATGAGGGTGCTGTTTGTGCATGTCTTTAATTTAGAAGACATACCATGCTTACTCTTACTTTCAGGTGCCTACTTTCACTCAACTGTGACCAACATCCCTTTTCAGCTCCTGCAGCATACTGTCCTTGCAAGCTATCCCTTTCAGTGACAGTGAGCAGTCAAATGTGGTCAAGTTGGTTCCTGCAGACTAGGGCTATGCGGGCCACAGTGCAAATGCTTGGTGGGTACAATTTCTTTGTTTCTGGCCATATTACAAAACTATTTTCTGCCATTTGCATAACTTCAGTATAAATGTTTTGCTTATAATGGCATAGTTAGTGTCAGTAAAGTATCAATATCTGACAACAACAAATGCTAACTTTATATCTAGTATAGTAATATATAAAACATAAATCAAAGTTTGCAGGCCTTAAAAGCCTGGCTTAAGAGACTCTAGAACACAAACAATCTGATAACGGACATTTTTCTCTGAACAATTGTCTGCAGAGCCATCCACACTCAAGAGATGTGCTGTACCTCCATCCTGGAGCCACACAAACCTGATATCAATGATGGTTGCACCTGCACCATCTCACAAGCAGCAGACATTGCCATTCCACAGAGTCCCCTGAGATCAGAATATCCAATGGCCATAGAGGTGGCATCGCCTCAGGTGGAAACACCTAGGGCAAGCACAAGTTATTTGTATGAGAGTGGTTTACATGCCACTAATGGAGACCTTGATATGTAGCCCACAAGGCTGTCACTGCTGAATAAATGATGTCTGAGGACTACAATGTCCATAAACTACCTTGCCTCAGAGTCACACACAAAAACTACCTAAGAGTGACCCCCCATAGTTGCATAAGATAAACACTAGCTGTGTAAACCAGACTGAATGCATGTGCATAGGACTAAATTCAACATAATAACAATGACATTCAACATGACAATTTCAATAAAGATAAGCATTGAATCACGCTGTCGGACGTACTTCTGAAACACCATTTTGCAACACAATGGCCAAGAAGACCGAGCTAGAACTACCAAACAAGCTATGGGAGAAGATACTCCTTATTGCAATATTGGTTGACCCTGAAACCATTCTGGTGAATTGCCAGCAAACTCTCTGCCTACAAGCCATATATGCAAGATCACGCCAAATACTCATCCATGAGACAATAGTATGTGATGAACCCCCTGAAAACAGTGAAGGCTTTGTTCAGCATATACACTGCAGCATCGACCAAAAACCCCACCTGTTACACATCTTCACCCACTCACTCAAAATTGACAAAAGATCAGAACTCGGCTACAAAGAAGAGAAATGCATGCACATAATGTTGACTCTGGCCACAATACAAGAGACAGAATGCCTTCCCAACTTCCACTTGCTCCACATCATATTCAGCACATGGCTGCCTTCTCACACCTAGTACTGGTCTTAACGCCTGGTACAAGAATGCTAGTTTTATACCACATCTGATCGTCCCACAACTACTCTTCACTGTTTGAGGTCCTAGTGGCCTGTCAGAACCTCTGATCCCTAACCATATGCCCAATCGATGGATTCACACTGTCGAGTGACTCCACCTCTGCACAATAGCACCTCCACACCCTCCAACTTCCATTGATCATGGAGTGCCACCTGCTCTAGGCCACCACTGTCCTTTCCTCTGCAATGCAGTCTCTACACGATCTCCACATAGGCATGGAAATTGACCTTCTCAACATGAGCCGAGATGACGGAATTCTATTCCCACCAAACCACCATTCTATCAGCCTCTCTCGCAGAAGTAGTCTGGATGTCATCGCACAATGCAGCAATCACTGATAAAGCTCTGTGACATAATTAAATTGTTCCTGGTCCAACCAGAACACCTTCATATATTCTTCATATTGCCAGATGCGCCATTATCCTTTCTATCCCCCGATCTGAACACTATCCCATGGACTGAGATCATGGCTACCATAATGAGAAAACATACCTGCAACACAACAGTCTGGCCAGTCCACTACCCCCAGACAATGCTTGCAGAGATCAGCTGGTCCAACTAGAGTTATGTGGGCTATAGCATATATGCTTGGCAGATACAGTTTCTTCATTTTTTTTATGCTGAAATATATGTAACCATGCCACAAAGTGGCTGAAGGCAGTTATATTCCAGGCTCCACTTATTCTCAACTGGAAAGCTCTTTTAGTCTAGCCTGTCTGAGCTAGAAAACAGAACAGGGATCCTGGAGATAGTTTCTGTAACCATGCCACAGAGTAGCTGGAGGCAATTATGACCCAGACTTTACTCAATCTGAACTGGGTTGCTCTACTTGTACAGTCTGTCTGAGCAAGACAGATTAGAGCTTTTACAAATGGCGCCTCTAACCATCTCATTCCAGTTCAGTTCAGAGTTTGTGTCAAAGGTTTGTAAAGTGATTTTGTCTAAGAAAGTGCCAGTAGAAACTACCAAAGGGTAGCAAGCAAGGTAAAAGATGAGAGGCAAGTCAAATCTCCATGAAGACATCATAAAAAGTCTTTTTCCCAGACCGTCCCGCCAAGGCTATGTGCTATCAAGGCCAGCAAGAGTGGTGTGTACTATATGGCAAGTGATACTCACATGTATGGACTGTAAGAACCATGCACCTATAGCACCATACCATTTAAACCACTCCATATCACAAACTAACTAGTCTGAGATGTTCTCAGAGTCTGGTCCTATGCAGATGTAGGTACAGTGAGTCTATTATAGTAGTCCGCCTAGCTGGCCAATGTCAAACAAACGGCTTGTATTATATAAGCACATGCAACCATGAGTAGTACGATGTTGTGTTCAACAAGAACAAGTCTACACAGACAGGTATGGATTCACACAAAACAAGCTCACCTTATCAAGGACATTCTCAGATGTCCAATCCCTGCTTATCTCTTTTTTGCACTGTTCTGACAGATGGCATACATTGACAACATGGTCTGCGGATATGATTGTGGCATTTGGTCAGCAGTTCTGTGTCGAGCAACTGACTTGAAATAGCTGGCTAATGCCATCGACCTGCAGGAAGAGCATGTACCACTCAACATACAGCAAGGAGTGCAGAGGAATGCCATACTGGGGTGGCAACTTGAAGATGACGTGCACATGTGCAAGTCGGAGGCCTATCATATGGGAGCAGTCAATTGAATGATATAGCCTAATTAAACTGCAGCTAATGCACTATCTAGCAAGCCATTGCTGCAATTTTTGAAAATCTTGAGATGTTCAACCAGTAGAACTGAGTCAAAACATTCAGAAATGGCCTGGCAATGCCCAGATGCAGGAGCTGGTGGCAATGCACGAATACGACTGAAAACTAGATGAGATGAGGTGAAGATGTTCCAAGCGCGTTTGAGCTTCAGCTGCTTGTGGACCTGGTAGGTGACAAGGCGCGATGGCGGTATGAGTGTGTTAGGTATGTTTTCAGCCATGAAGAGCTTAAAGGCATGCAAGAATTCAGTTGCGCCATGTTGAATGAACAGGGTAGACAGTGTGGTCGCGGAAATGA